ATTCATGGAAGTTTATTCTAAATTCTAAAAATTAAAAGCGAACTCAATGTCCAAAACGTATAACGCTAAAGTCAAGCTAAGGTCAGTCATCAAAGGATACGCCATGCAGGATGTTAATATAAAATAATAATAAAATTCTAACGAGGCATATGAAAGTATGCAGAGCAACCCTTTCGCTTTTCGAATTTTATAAATACCCACACCGAAGCACTGAAAAATTAGAATTAAGAGCATTCTTCAAAGGATACTCTGGACACAAACGAAATAAACGCCTTTTCTGTAAGCTCCCTCGTATATGGCACATTTACGACACACATTTCCAACTGAAACTATACCGAAATTATACATGCTGGCAAAAGCCATAAATTAGTACCTTTTGAGGCATTTAAAACATTCATAAATCCTTAAGCAAACTATATCTGTTGGTGTCCACATTTGTCTGAGCTACTACTGACTGCCGCTGCAAAATGGTGGATGGAGTGCTGGCATTAAGTGGGGTAGTTAAATTATTGTCCACTTCGTTATACAAATTAGAGAGAGTGAAATTTTACAAAACGATAAAAAAAATCTAAAAAATCTGGAACTAGTAAAAATTTTAGGAAAAAGAACAACCCACACATGTGGCACAGCGTCCAGAAACCTCTTGACATGCCACACAATGGCCAACTTCGTTGTCCCACGAAGTTCACACATTTCTCCACTGCAACAATCAGATTTGTTAGCTTTTGTTTTTGTTGTCATTGTTGTTGCTGTTGTTGTTGTTATGCCTCCTTTTTGAATATCATTGCCACATGTTTTTATTGTTTTTGGTCTCATCGGCGGTTATTTATTGCTTCATCTGGGTTAAGTTCGGTTAACCGTTCTTATGCTCTCTACCACTCCTCCTCCTCCTTCTCCATCTTTGAAATGTTGGAAAGTTTTGCACTTGAAAATTGAAAACTTTTGTTGATTAGAAATCAATTATTTCGCACAAATACACACACACAAACAAGCACCCTTACATACGAATGCACACATGCACACAGCTAAATAGGTGTAAGGTGTTAGGTGTTTGAGAAAAGCATTTATTATTTTAGTTCCAAAATTCTCTAGTGAGTTTAGTAAATACGTAAGACATTCATTTAAAAAGCTTGCCCCATGTTTCTTCAAGGAGTACAAGAAAGTATAAATTAAATAGCAACATCTAAGTGTATATCCAAAAAACTGTTACTCTTGATATGAAGTAAATCAATTGAAATATTCAAGAACTCACCTCATAGATTAATCTTAAACAAATGCATGGGGCAAGCTATTTTATTATACTTGTATGATAAATATAGGTGTCATTTATGAATAAATTAAGATACCTTGCAATAATTTTTACCGGTAAAAAAGATATTGAGTAACATTCCAACAATGAATATAGGCAACTAAGACTATACTCATTTAAGTCTTTTCATGGACATAATCAGGTCACGTGAACAAAAAACTAAACATAAGTTCAAGATCTTAATTAGAAGCACCTATGGAAGGAGACCTTGAAAAGTATATCATTTACAAAATTCGATAATTTATCATTAAATCCGGGAACTTTACTTATGAACTATGTGCATATTGCCAATTTCAAAGATTCTGAAAACATCTCACATGCGCCATCTATAGCTCAGATTTCAATTGATATCAAATTTAAGCAATACAAAATTTGCCTGAAAATATGCTTTAATTTTTTATTTTCACTTATGTGATCTTATTAGATGCGTTACGATATAAACTATTCGATATTATTTGATCATGTATATGGAAGGTAGTATCATAAAACTTCATTATGATATTAATATTAAATGAAGTTAGTAATTAATTTTTATTAAATTTGGACATGCTAATCATTATCAATCGGTAGTGTAAAAAATCCATTTAAATATAAAAAATAAAAATTTTATTTTAAAACAAAAAAAAATAATCTCTTTAAGTACAATGGGGACCAAACCTGATGTTATACTTTCCTTCGCATAATTGTGATTATTATATTATTGTAATTATCATTAATAGCATTATTATTATTATTCTGTTGGGTGACTTGCACTGTGATCTTGATCTGCGATCTATTGTGTCTTCTTTATAGACTTAGAGTATTACTCCAAGTCCAATTTTCTCTATAAATCGTAGCATTGAACCTATATTTCAGAGCCTCAATTCTTATTCCGATTTTAGATGTTCTTCTAGATATTTTATTCGATTATATATTAGCATCTTATAAGTTCCTAACATATGTCTTAAAATCTTCTCTAATAAAACATACAAGTCTCATTATAGTAAGTTCTCAGTTTTTTAAGATGATAATTTAATCCACAATGTCAAAATTCTTATAGCGATTCATATATGGTACTACACCAAGCAAGTATTTCGGGGTCTCATTATTTATATGATGTAGTTTATCGTCTGTTTAAATTTATTTTTGTTTGTATTTAGAATCCTATCAGCTTCCAGTCTCGAACTATGAATTTTTTAAATAAATGCGTTTCATTGTTCGGGTCTGGAAGCTGATAGGTCTCATTATTTGCCCCACAAAATCTATAACATCCATTAGAGTAAGTTCCAAATTTTTTAAGATGATACATGATAGATTTCTAAATTATTTTACTTAGCTGCATACAGTCCTTGAATCGTTTTAATCGCAAGTCGATATTATAAGGTTACTACTTAAACTAATCGAGTTCATGTCAAGATTGTCTTATCTATTATTTATTCAAAATCACTTCATTACTAAATTGTCCTGCATAATGACTATATGTATTAGTACAAGGAGTGTATTTATTTTACCTTTTCATTTAAATTAAAAATAAGTTTTTTAATTGATTGTGTATGGAATGAATGGATATAGCTTCAGCAATCCTTTGAAATGCAAACATGGCGAATATTGTGAATAATCAGTAACTGCAAACATGAATTAAAACTACAAAGAAATAAATTATAATAAAAGCAAATATATCCTTGCAGACTTGTATGCATTTATTTGCACTTCAACTCATGTCCCGCGCACTACCGACTGACCTTTGCCTGGTAAGCAACGCCAGTGGAAGACAGAGTGGAAGAGCAGCTACAGCAACTACAGTAGCGCCTCATTTATCTGCTCATCCATTCGATGTCTGTGATGTGGTTGCTTAGAATTCATTTTGCCGCATATCCTTTGCCAACATACCTAAAAAGAAATAAAATTAAAACCGGATAAGTCCTTTTTTAACTCTTGTACGAGTATTTTCAATCGATTTATTTTAAACAAAATACGAGAAAAAAATCACAGGATAAAGGACGAAAAAAACTAAACGAAACGGAACGGAACTGTTTTAATTTGTGCATATGTGCGCCTGCAACGGAGCTCATTAAAGTTAGCATACATCCATATGTGTATGTATGTATGCTTGCGTGTGTATGAATGCGTGTATGTTTGCGTAGAGTAAAGTTTGGCTTTTTAATTCCTTTTTTACAGTCGAGTTTAATTTTAATTTTGTTATAGAAAATAAAGGCTTTTCAGGACGAAATTTGCACAAATACGCATTAATTTTCTTTTAACCCTTCTTTGTCTCTGCTGTGAGATGATGTGCAGTGGTGAAGTGATGTACATTGGTGGATATATGAATATGGATAAGGACACAGGAGCACATGTGTGATGTATGTAAGAATGTGTAGTGTAAGAATCCTTCAAATACTTCGAATTACTCTTTTAAAGGATTTTAATGAATTTTTACATGTGCTCAAAGAGGAAGTCTGCATTTTTCTCATTAAGAAGATATTGTTTTTATCTTAAAGGATAATTGTTTCAATACAATGTGAACTGATTTCGGAAAATTGATATGTTAAAACGATATGATGAGTGAGATAGATTAATAAATTGCTTACAACTTTGCCAAATAAGATTTACATTTTTCATCAATTTATTGTATTTAATAGGATTGTAAAGAAATATACACTTGATATATATATATGACTGACTGAGCATCCTTTGAGGACAGTCTAATAGTTACAAAAATAGTTGATGTTTTAAATTATTGCTTACATCCTTTAATTCACTTTAAATTTACTACCTCTTTTTTGTTAGATTTTCTTTATTGCTTTTTAACTTCTCTAGTTCCGAGTGGAGTTCATGATTCTTCTGTGGCTTAATGCAAGTTGACACCATGTCTCCTAAAATGTTCACAGGACCTCCCAAGTGCTCCTCGAGCGATAACTTATAGTTACACTAGTGCCACTTAAATAACTCTTAAACATTTTCAGCCACTTGAAGCCGCCAAACAGTCTGGCAATCTTAACGTTTGTACCTGAACTATTTTTATTTCAGCAAGGACCTCACATATGGTAGTTTGTTATCTTAAGTCATATATTTTTTCTGTTACATAATTTATTTTATTGACATTTTACATAATTCTTTATCACTTCCGTATTGGTTTCAATTGCCATTGCCTTAGTTTGGTTGTGGCGGTCAACCGTAAAGTGCAGTTCGGGTCCACTTAAATTATTGCGGCAGTGATTGATTTGGGTTTAATGTGTTTAAGAGCATTTGGAATTCCCAAATAAAATATTAAAAATATTAAACATACTGAGAAGAAGAGTCCTTAACCAAATGATTAGACAAACTCATTGAAGGATCTGATCTCTTCGACTTGAAGATAACGAATGAATATAAATAAAAAAACTTGAACTATATATTCCTTGCTAACTCTTAATTTTTTATAATTCTATACTTATGGGTCTATTATTTTATTTTTTATTAATTGGACTATTCCCTTATTATTTGATTAAAATAAAAATCTTATAATTAAGTTTATTTTTAGAAAAACGAAATACTTTTTCGTATTCCCAAATGTTTTCTATTTTTATGCAGTATTTAGGTATCTAGTAAGTATTATTATTCCTAAAACAACAACAAGATTTGTTGTTTCTAAACAATCATTAATTTAAACAAAAAACAACAAAAATATTTCATGTTTGACATTTGGTCAAAGCAATGGGCGAATTGTTTGTTATTTTACTTTCTTCGCCTGAAGGCATTAAGGCCTTTCACTTCTAAGGCGGGGCGACATTTCTCAATACGAATCGGAACTTTGCATATCGAATGACACAAAATCTGTTACAAATTTAAAGAAAAGAAAGCACTCGACTCAGTTTGACAGGAACTACAAATCATTTGTCATAGAAGAAAAACATTCGTGCCTCTCATATTCCTACGGTCAGCACAAAAAAAAAAATCAAAGAGTATCGGCATTGTTTTGATTGTCGTCTAAGGACTCAAAAGTTTAGGATCATAAATTTTCGTATTATGATTTTTTAATTACTTAGTTTTTCATTTAAGAAGATATTCACATATTTCTTTTGATGTTTGTAAAAATAATCGAATTTGAATAGTACTATCGTACTCTTGAGGTAAAAGTACTTTTCTATTCATTTTGATAGAGAATGAGGAAGATTTCATGTACGAATCACGTTTCGTAATGAAATAAAATTAATTTTTTACTAGTTGAAGTTAATTTAAATCTCTGCATTAATAATATAAAAGACCAGTCAATAAAAATAAAAAGATCGTAAGAGTCTATGGATAGACACCGTTACAAAGGCTTGACACCCCATTCAAATGAAAGGAAGACAGCCTAAATAACCTTATACCTTAGCTATGTGCCTAATATTAAAACGATACCAGCTACATCAGTTCGCGAGAAAAAGAAAAGCAGAAATATTGAGACTTGTTACTCCTGTACAGGACCACGATGAAAGCAAACGAAAGCACTAGACTCATTGCATGGCTTTAACATTCAAGTGATCTGTTCGCATTGATACCGTAGCCATGAGTAGATTTTATTTTAGTCGAAGCTGCTAACTAGTACGAGTTTTGTCCAATATGGACAAAGCATATCTTAAGGTCTGATAAGAATCTTCATATGTACAGGCTCGCCTTGTTAACCCCAGGAATATACGTTTCATTGTCAATTTAAGTGTTGCAACAGAGATACTATTATCTAAAGACTATAGATTATATAGTAATGTATTACTTAACATTGAATTGCCACGTATAAAAATATTTAAAGAGTAAATTGCGGAGAACAACGCATCATCTTTGGAAATCTCGGTACAATTACTCGAAATGTTTTTTGTGTTAAGAAGTCCATACGATTTGAGCAGTTACAAACCTAAAATATTAAATCCATTCTATTTTAGATAGATGATATTTAAGATTCTATCTATTGTATCCATCTACAAACCCATCTATGCTTCGATCTAAAATCCATTATTCTCTAATAAATATGAGAGCCATAACGCTGATCAAGGTTTAGGTTAGATCAAATGTAGTCAAATTAAAAAAAAACTGGGCAGCCTCTATTCAATATGATTGCGAGCTCAAGGTCAGTTCTGAATCAGCATATGCGAGCGTTAGGTCTGATATCCATTGATTTGGATTGCTGTTCTATCAAGAGCCTAGGCAATAACCAATAAACTGTTTTCCTGTGGATAGAAAGTAAAGTTCGCTGAATTTATAGATCGACTATAAACTACCATACTGACCGCAGTATGATTTTTGTACTGCTGGAAGATACTGCTAGTAGATTGAAGTCTCACATGAAAGTCTTACGTACGCTCCACCTACTGAGAAAGATTTCGACTGGAGTAAGTTACAAATTGATTGGTTTGTGCTCTGCTGCTATAAACCACAGTCGAATCAGAGTGAGATTTTCTATAGGTCAACCAGCTTTACGTATTTTTTCACTTACTTCCAATCGAAAGGCAATCTCAATGAGAAGGATTGGATCAGTGATAGCTGTGTGAAGTCAGAGCATATAATACAACTATGTTACTAGTACTTCTCATTAATGTTAATCATTAATATTATCTGAATAAATATAACTGCATGTTGTATTTCATATAAACCATTTAAAATAAAAGTTCTTATAAAAAAAATTTAACAATAATAAATAATAATGAAAATAATAATTATTGTCATTGAAACTTGATTGATTAGTGCAGCTCGAATGACAATTATTCAACAGAATTCCTATGATTAATTACTGAACGTAACTGAGTGCGCGTTCCTATCCTACTACATACTTCCATGTAATTCCGCCTATAGGTAGGGAAGCGTATTCTTGCCTATTACAACTGCATGTATGCATGTAAGTGAATGTAAATAAATTAACGAAACATTACGTTTACTGGGAAATATAATTTTATGACAACGTATCTCATATAGAAAAAATTATTACAGAAACATCAGTTTAAAGAATTTATAGTTTATTCTTCATAATCTTTTTATTTATTTTGGAAACTCTATATACGAGTATATAATTAATATAATAATAACTTTAGTAAATGAAATAAAATTTTTATTTCAAAATTGGAACAAAATTTAAAATCATTTCACTGTTGTCCTCTGCGGAATATTGTCCTCCTTATTTGTTACAACTAGATTATGATCTAGTGCCAACTAGTGTCTTACTCAGACACCAACGTTCGGTTTATGAATACCAGGAAACAGAAGAATGGATAATACCATCTAAATAAAAGTAAATCAATCTTATCGAAAATTTATGATTGCCATAATTAAATAAATTTTGTTAATGTTTAATGTAAAATAATTAACAGGAATAATTAAGAAAATTTTGGCTCAATTCTAATTAAATAATCTAGCCACAATCGCTAGGGTTTTTTCACAGGTGTAACTTTCGAAGACAAGTATGTCTACTTTGATAAACTCATCTGCCATACAGTTACCTGAAATATTCCTCTGTCGTAGTTCTCACATGAGTAAGACAGTGAAAAGTTTATCCCACTTGTTAAAAGAAGCTCTGCGATTCACGACAACTTTATACTGAATGCAATCTTACCTACAGAGTAAGAAAAAGCCTACTCCCTGATCATTCGTTGGACTTATTTGGCGGTGTATTGAAGCAAAGGTTTTCGAATATTTATAGAACAATCAATCGGACAGACAAAACTCCAATAGGTGAGCATGAAAAATTCTCTAATGCTTCAATAATCATGAAATTCTAATTGTCATGCACAGAATGGAATTTACAAAACCAGATGCTAAGGAAAGTATCTTCAATGAAGAAATAAACACAGAGGAATTCATTCTAAAAATATTATAAAAAAAATATCGACATGTTTGCAGGAACGAAAACCGAAACCAAACCGAAGTACATTTTTTTCTTTTAAACCGGAACGAAAAAAAATTCCTTTTAGAAGCCCGGCCAAAGCTAATAAACTTGTCTATTGTGAATAATGTTTGGAGTTTTGTCTATTGTGAACTGTCATTTTTAGTCAATTATTAAGAAATTGTTGTTAATTATTCGAATTTAATTACTATAACTTTACATTTTCTATATATTTCTCAAGTTTTAGGTTACTTTTTAAAATCTTCAATAAAATAAGCAAACAAATTTAACACTCCTGGATGTACATATATGTATCTCTGTCACACATTAACACAAAGCATGTGATAGAGTTAGGAGTGTTGCCACCCGAATACCACCCAACATAATACTTATATTATATTATTTTTTTCCAACATAGTAACAAAAGATTATGCCTATAATTAAATTCTGTATGGCTAAGTATAATAAATATCCCCTCTATTCTGTATATTCCCTCCTTTCATATATGTTATGTTAAAACTAGTTCGAGAATATACGAGTATATACAATAATTACATACTGATATGATGGCATTAAGTTGAACTAGAAAACATAGAAAAACTCTAATTAAAGACCGTACACACTACATACTAGACGAGTATGTAAATTTCCACTCTCTCCTTACCCATACTCCTCTGTTTATGTATTTGTTTATGTGTTGTGTTGTAGATGTGTGCATGTATGCGGCATTTCTAAGACAGTTCCTGTCACTTTGACAAATTATTTTCGTCTTCTTTATCAATTCGGTTCGAAATTAGTTGATGTGGGCGGGAGGCGGAGGCGGGCGTTTTAAAGTTTGCTGCTG